TTATGTTCATTAAGGACATGGGTCTATAGTTTTCTTTATTGGTTGTGTCTTTACCTGGTTTGGGTATTAGAGTGATGCTGGCTTCATAGAAGGAAATTAGGAGTTCTCCCTCTCTATCGTTTTGAATAATTTAAGTAGTATTGGTTGGAGGTCTTCTTTAAATGTCTGGTAGAATTCTGCTGTAAATCCATCTGGTTCTGGGCTTTTTTTTCAGTCAGGAGGTTTTGTATTACTGTTTCAATTTCCTTATGTGTTATGGCTCTGTTTAAACTGTTGATCTCTTTTTGGTTTAACTCTAGAGGTTCCCATGATTTCAGATATCCACCATTTCTTTTAGACTTTCAGCTTTAGTAGAGTATAGGTTTTTAAAATATTCCCTTATAATGGTTTGGATCTTTTGGGTGTCTGTTGTGATGTTTCCCCTTTCAACTCTGATTTTGTTGATTTGAATTTGCTTTCTTTCTTTTGGTTAAGGGCTGGGCTAAGGTTCTGTCTATCTTGTTTAGCTTTTCAAAGAACCAGCTCTTAGATTCATTGATTCTTTGTGTTGTGTTCTTTGTTTCTATTTCATTAATTTCTGCTCTGATTTTTGTTATTTCTTCTCTTCTGGGTTTGGGTTTGGGTTTCATTTGTTCTTGCCTTCCCAGTGCCTTGACTTGCAGTGTTAGGTCATTTATTTGGGCTCTTTCCAATTTTTTAATGTAGGCACTTAGAGCTATAAACTTCCCTTTTAGGACTGCTTTTAATGTGTCCCAGAGGTTGTGTTGTATCATATTGTGCTTTTCATTGAATTCCAGGAATTCTTTTATTTCTTTCTTAATTTCTCCTTTGATCCACTCATTGTTTAGGAGTGTGTTGTTCAGTTGCCACAAGTTCATGTAGTTACTACGGCTTTGTCCAGTGTTGAATTTGAGCTTTATTGCATTGTGGTCTGATAGAATGCATGGAATTATTTCAATTTCTTTGTATTTGTTGAGGTTTGTTTTGTGGTCCAGTATGTGGTCGATTTTTGAAATAGTTCCATGAGGTGCTGAGTAGAAAGTGTGTTCTTTGGTGTTTGGGTGGAATAATTGAAAGATGTCTGTTAGGTCCATTTGCTATATGGTATCATTAATTCAGATGTCTCTCTGTTTATTCTTTGTCCAGTTGACCTGTCTAATGGAGACTGTGGGGTATTGAAGTCCCCTAATATTACTGAGTTGGGGTCAGTCTGTGTCTTAAAGTCCTGTAGTGTTGTTTTTATGAACTTAGATGCATCAGAAACCAGAGTTTGGTGCATATATGTTAAGGATTGTAATATCTTCTTGGTTAACTGTTCTTTTGATCAGAATGAAGTGATCCTCCTTATCTCTTCTGATTAGTTTTACTTTGAAGTGTATTTTGTCAGATATTAGAATTGCAACCCCTGCTTGTTTCCTGGTGCCATTTGTTTGGAATATTCTTTTCCATCCTTTTACCTTAAGGTAGTTCCTATCCTTTTGTAGGCAGCAAAGAGATGGATTTTGTTTCTTAATCCATTCACTTAGCTTATGTGTTTTGACTGGGGAGTTCAGTCCATTGATATTTAAGGTTATTATTGAAAGAGTGTATTGGTTGCCATCATTTTCATTGCTGTTTGTGTTCTTTGTTTTTGTGTTTTCTCAATTATACCTTTATTTTCTTTCATTGGCTTGGGGTATAGTTGTTCCTTTTTCTGCCTTTTGTATTGCTTCAAGTATGCTTTGAAGGGCTGGTTTCATAGACATGTATTCTTTCAGGGTATTTATGTCATGGAAGATTTTTCTTTCCGTCTTAAGTATAATAGACATTTTTTTCTGGGTAAAATATTCTGTGTTGTCATCTATTGTCATTTAGAAATGGAAATACCTTGGTCCAGGCTCTTCTGGCTTTCATAGTTTGCATTGATGAGTTAGCTGTAATTCTGATGGGCCGCCATGTGGCTGCTGGGAATCAAACTCAGGTCCTCTGCAAGAGCAGTAAGCACCCTTCACTGCTGAGCCATCTCTCCAGTGCCGTGTTTTGTGTTTTTTAAATTACATGTATGTATGTATGTATGTATGCGTGCGCATGTCTGTGAGATCAGCGGACAACTTGTAGAGTCTGTTCTCTCCTCTACTATGTGGGTCCTGGGATCAATCTCATATTGTCAGGCTTGGAAGTAAGCACTTTTACCTCTGAGCTCTTGCAATCCTTTTTTAGATAAATAGCAACTAGTTATACAGTAAACTAGTAAGTCTAAAGAGGACCTTTATTTTGTTCTCTCTGAAATTTCTGTTTGGCGGTATCAGGAAAGCATCTGTCCTTATTCTGCTTGGAGAAGTTAGGGCCTCTGCCACAATACCACATTTTATTTTTCATATGAGAAAGCTGCATAAATATACTTCATTTTACTTTTTTAACATCTTGTTTCTTTATCCCTATTATTGGATTCTGTTTTGAAAGAGAATTATAATTTCTTGATAGTTTTTAAGTCTAAATTATTGCAGTGATAGTTTGTATTTGTTTAAATTTAATATTTGTATGTTTTTAATTTCGAAATGACTTCAGACATTTTTGTTCATTTGATTCTCACAGTGCCTTAATACATTTAGATTAGTAAACATTATAATGTGATTTTTAGGTGATTTTTGGATTAACTTTTTTATTATGTGTAGCTAAGAATTCACATTTGCATTTTACTTTGAGGTTTTCAAAGTACCTCTAATAATTACTTAGCTGTTTAATGATGGATTATCCAGTAGGAGAGGAGGAAAAACTTTGTTTTGGTTTCTTAGGTTCTATAGTTGGGGCCTTTGAAAGTTGATAAAAAACAGGTTAATAGGAAAAAGGCATGTAAGTGCTATACAGTGTTAATACATTAATTTTTAGGGCACGGAGGCCTTCATAGAAAAGAAGTGAGGGGTTCCCCCCCCACACACCTCAAAGCTGTTAGATTTGGAGTCTTATGTATTATTTTAACAAAGGCCAATAAATTGTGTGGAAGTGACAAAGCAAAGGAAAAGATGTTTGCTTTTCTGGGGCAGCAAATTATAAGGAGAAATGTCCATAGGGGAGCTAATGGAAGAAAGGGTTATTTCAGTATGGTTGGTTTGTACAAATCATCTCAGTGCTGAGTTTCTGACTATAGTGATGAGTTCTCCTGATATGGGAGAGGGCAAGAAAAACATCTTTATGAAGGAACATCTGTGCCTTGCTTGTGTGGAGGTAGACAGAGGCAGGATAAAATGCTCTTTTTATGTTTGCTCCTTCTCTGTAGCCTTCAACTCAAAATAATTTATTCTGGGATAGCATTCATATTTCCTATCCAAAGAACAAAACATAAGAATATTAGAATTCTGTGACTAACAACTACCAGCATCTCATGCCTCCTTTTAAAGAAGTCAGATAATTTCTTTTTAGCAGGAATCTAATGGAAATGTGTTGGAATTTTGAAAATGAGTGTTTTTTTGGTTATAGGTGAAAGTATCTTAGTTTGTAAGAACTCTGAGAAATCAAAAGGCATAGCTCTGCTTCAAGGATCTCTAAAATCTGTTCGCAGTTGTCTGCAAAGACAAGAAGGAGAAGATGTTACTGCTAGTATGATCCGAGCTATTCTAGAGGTAAGAGTTCAGTAGGTCATGGTTTCCTTTTATACCTATGTTAAAATTGATTATGTGAAAGTCTGAGCTTAGGGTTTTGCTGTTTTTTAAAAAAAATATTTTATTATTTTTAATTTTTGTGTATGAAAGTATTGCCTACATATATGTAAGTATACCCCATGTTGTGCAATGCCTGCAGAGGTCAGAAGAGGGTGTCAGATTCTCCTGGGAGTTATGAACTGTTGTTAGCCTCCGTGTGGGTACTGGGAATCAAATCCAAGTCCTCTTAACCCCTGAGCCATCTCTCCAGGCCTGGTTTTTGGTTTCTTTTCTTAAGATTTTTGTGCTTATAGCCTTCCAAAGTGTGAATATAGATGTTTCTCACATAATCTAAATACACATACGTGTCTGTATGATGGTTCTTCAGCTGGGCTCTGTTAAATAAGTTGATAAAACCAGATACACATGGTCTCAGCTCTCCAGTCAAAAGACACAGGCTAATGGGATGGATTAAGAAAAAAAATCTTTTTGTTGTCTTCAAGAAACTCATCTCACTTTCAAGGATAAGCACTACATGAGGGTGAAAGGATGGAAAAAAATATTCCAAGCAAATGGCACTAAGAATCAAGCAGGCATTACAATTCTAATATCTGACAAAATAGACTTCAAATTAAAACTAATCAGAAGAAATAAAGAGGGCCACTTCATCCTTAACAAAGGAACAGTTGACCAAAAAGATAATTATAACCATGAGCATATATGTACCAAACTCTTGTGCACCCAGTTTCATCAAAACAGTCCTGTAGGACTATAAAACACAGATTAACCCCGACTCAGGAATAGTAACTTCAGTACCCTACCATCTCTAATAGACAGGTCAACAGGACAAAGAATAAACAGAGAGACATCAGAATTAAATGACATCTTACATCAAATGAATCTAACAGACATCTATAGTATATTCCACCTAAGCACCAAAGACTACACTTTCTACTTCTTAGTCCATGCAAATTTCTTTAAAACTGACCACATACTGGGGCACAAAACAAACCTCAATCAATACTAAAAATATTGAAATAATTCCATGCATTCTATCAGACCACAATCCAATAAAGTTTATAATCAACAGCAGTTGAAGCTCTAGTAACTACATGAACTCATGGAGATTAAAAACACACTACTGAATGATAAATGAGTGAAAGAAATTAAGAAAGAAATAAAAGTATTCTTAGAACTAAATGATGAGGGACCCTTTAAAAGCAGTCCTAAGAGGAAAGGTTATAGCTGTACATGCCTAAATTTAAAAAAGCAGAAAGAACACATATAAATGACTTAACAGTGCAATTCAAGACTTTGGAAAGGTAAGAACAAACCAAACCCAAACCTAGAAGACTAGAAGAAAAAATGAAAATCAGAGCAGAAATGATTGAAATAGAAACAAAGAAAGCATACAATCAATGAATTTAAGAGCTGGTTCTTTGAAAAGTTAAACAAGATAGACAGACCCTTAGCCCAGTTAACCAAAGAAAGAAAGAACAATTCCAAATCAACAAAATCAGAGATGAAAGGGGAAACATGACAACAGACAGAAAAAAACAAAATCAATGAACCCCCAGAACATTATTAAAAGAATACATTAAAAACCTATACTCTATTAAATTTGAAAATTTAAAAGAAATGGATGAATTTCTAAATTTATGAAAACCACCAATACATAACCACCTGACTAAAAAAAGCCCAGGTCCAGATGGATTCACAGCAAAATTTTACCAGATAGTCAAAGAAGATCTACAACCAATGCTTCTTTTTTTTTTTTTTTTTTTTTTTTTTTAGACAGGGTCTTCCTGTAGCGACAGCTGGCCTGGATTCACTATATAGCCAAGGCTGGCCTCAAACTCACAGAGATCCACCTGCCTTTGCCTCCTGAGTGCAGGGATTAAAGGCATATGCCACCAAACCTGATACTTCATAAATTATTCAAAAAGATATAAGTGGAGAAAACTCCCAAACTCCTTCTATGAAGCTAGTATCAAAACTCTAATACCACACTCTAATACCAAACCAGGTAAAAACACAGCAAAAAAAGAAAACTATAGGCCCATATCCTTAATGAATATACATGCAAAGATTCTGATCAAATTATTTGCAAACTGCTTTATTTTTACTCTTAAGGTCATTTAAGGATCTGTTCCTCAGGGGTCACATGGACTTGGGAGGAGCCCCTGGCTCCTTTCTTTTACCAGTTCCAAGCAGGACCTTTGACTTATCTTCACATAGCTGGAACTGGTAAAAGAAAGGAGCCAGGGGCTCTTCCAATGCCCATTTGACCCCTAATGAACAGACCCTCCCATGACCAGAAGAGTGAAAATAAATTGGTTTTTTGAGAGCTGCTTGTAGTCTCCTGGATCTAGTCGACCTAGGAGGGCAAGGAGCAGAAACTGTCCTTTATGTCCCTCTGACCAAATTATTATAGACTTCAAAGTATGTCTGTTAAACACACAAGGTTAGTTCCACCAGTCTGGTATTTTTAATTACTGTGTGTCATGTAGATAAATCTTAGGCAAAGATCAGTTGTCCTCAGATAAACCTTACTTAGACATATATTTCTTCATCTCCTATGTATAATTTGTCAGTAGGTTGTAGGAGTAATATGATTCTCACCAGTTTTCAAAGCTAGCTAAGCAGTCTTTATCTCTCACATTGTCTCACCCCTCCATCATGGTTTTCCCTCTTAAGGTGCCCCCATTGCCCCCCTTTCTCCCGTAATAATACCCTTCTCCTGTGGTCCTACCTCTCTTGAGCTCCTTCTTTCCCTTTATGTTGTAGGTTCCTTGTCTGGACCAACTGTGTGGCCTTAAACACCCAAAAGGAAAATATAACCAAAGATTAAAGGGGCCAATATAATTTCATAAGAGACCATATGTATAGCTAAAGGCTACATAGCAAGCAACAATGCCAGACGGGTGATACCTCCTTCTGAGTTGTTGGTCAGGGTGGCCAAAGGGACTCCCAGATAGTAACCCAGCAGAGAACTGGAAAAATGAACAGCAGACCCCAATCTTATCTAAAGGAATATTGAAAACTGAATACTGCCATATGAGGAACAGCTGACCCTCCTATAACAAAGACCTCTAGATAGGCTGACTAGATTCACCAGAAGGGCAAGTAGTGGGGAATGGCTGGGGGTGCTGACAACATGGCCGACAGTAGCAGGGTTATCAAAGTATAAGGGCTCTAGTGGGGGGAGGGAGGCTATGGGAGGGTGCTACCTGGGAAGTGGGTCTATTAAAAAAAATTCTTCAAAGCATAAAAATTTTGCTCCTTAATAACTAGTAGATTTGAAAAACATTACCATTGAAATCTACCTGATGACTTTATGTCCATGCTCAGGTGCCAAGGAGCTCAGAAAGTAACAGACTGTCTCTAGTAATAATCAGATATATAGAGATTAGAAATGCAAGTGCAAACATTTTAATGTCAATTGCATTGAAAATGAATTTCTGTATGAAACTGTGTATTTTAATAATGAAATGGAGATCTTTTTTAAAGGTTAAAACCTCATTTAATTTTATGTCTTATAGGGTTTATACTGGGTAAATTGTATAACCGTAACAATTCAACTGTAAACCTAAAAATTTACAGCCAATTTTGAAAAAGATGTATCTTAGCTCAGAAAATTGTTATTGAATATGTCAATGCTGTTGTAATGAATTGCTTCTTCTAAGTATATGGTTATTAAATAATAAACTGAAAAAAATATTTGCAAACTGCATACAGACACATCAAAAAAATCATCCACTCTGATAAAGTTGGCTTTATTCCATAGATGCAGGAATGGTTCAATATACATAAGTCAATAAATTTAATAAATCATATAAATGGATTTAAAGGCAAAAATCAAATGATTATCTCAATAGATACAGAAAAGGCCTTTGACAAAGCCAACATACATGTTAAAAGTCCTAGAAGGAATTGGACTGGAGGGAGCATACCTCAACATAATTAAAGCTATATACACAAACCCTCAGCCAACATCATTCTAAATGGAGAAGAACTGGAAGCATTCCCATTAAAATCAACCTCCAACTTTTGGGAGGCAGATATAGGCAGATCTCTGTGAGAATAAGGCCAGCTTGGTCCACAGGTGCCCTGGGACTACGAAGATGCTACCAAAAAACAAAACAAAACCCAAAACCAAAACCAGAACCAACTAAACAAACAAAAATCCTGGGAATAAACCTAACCAAAGACATTAAAGATATCTATAATGAAAAATTTTAATCTTTAAAGAAAGAGACACCAGGTAATGGGAGGACCTACTGTACTCATGAATTGGTAGAATTAATACTGTGAAAATGACTATCCTACCAAAAGTAATATATAGATTCAATGCAATACCAGTCAAAATCCCCCTGACATTCTTCACAGGGCTAGAAAAAAAAATCCTAAAATTTATAATGGACTTATAATAAGATCCCCTAATAGCCAAAGCAATCTTGGGCAAAAAAAGCAATGCTGGGGGAATCACCATACCCGATCTCAAACTGTATTACAGAGCTGTAGTCATAAAAACAGCAGGATACTGGCACAAAAATAGACTCATAGATCAATGGAACACAATAGAAGACCCAAACATGAGTACATGCAATTTCAGCCCTCTAACATTTCACAAAGGTGCCATGGAGGAAAGACAGAATCGTCAACAAATGGTGCTGGCAAAACTGGATCTTCACTTGTAGAAGAATGAAATTGGACCTTTTCACCCTGCACAAAAGTCAACTCCAAATGAATCAAAGACCTTAATAAGAAATGTGTACCTCTGAGACTGCTAGAAGAAAACATAGGCGGTAGCCTACAAAATATAGGTGTAGGAAAGGACTTTTAAATTAGACATCAGTTGCTTAGGCATTAAGATCAACATTCAACAAGTGGGACCTCGTTAAACTAAAAAGCTTTTGTACAGCAAAAGAAACAGCCAAGGAAGTAAAGAGGAAACCCACTGAGAAGGAGAAAATCTTCACCTGCTACATATTTGACAGAGGATTAATATCCAGAATATTACAAAGAACTCAAGAAACAAAGATACAAGAAACTAAATGACCAAATAAGGGGGACTATAGACTTGGACAGAGAGTTCTCAAATGAAGAAATAAAAGTGGGTAAGAAACATCTTAAAATGTTGAACATCCTTTGTACTTAGAGAAATGTAGATCAAAACCACTTTAAGATTTCATCTTACCCCAGTCATACTGGCTAAGATCAAGAGAACAAAAGATACCAAATGCTGGTGATGATGTGGAGAAAGGGGAATGCTCATTCACTACTGGTGGTAATGCAAACTCGTACAACCACTGTAGAAAGCAGTGTGGAGAACTCTTAAAAAAACTAAAACTGAGTCTACTAAATGATCTGGTTATACCACTCCTTGGCATATACACAAAGAACTCATCCTACTGTAGAGATACCTGTTTGTTGCTGCTCTCTTCACAATAACTAAAAAATGGAAACAATATAAATGTCCCTCAACTGACAAATGGATATGGTACATTTTACATAGTGGAGTTCTACCCAGCAGAAAGGAATAGTGAAATTATGAAATGGATGGAACTAGAAAATGTTATACTAAGTGAAGTAACACAGACTCAGAAAAGCAAGTGACATTTGTTCTTCTTCATTTGTGTATCATGGCACCAGTCCCCTATATGTGAGTATATATCCTTGTGTAACACAAGAGCCAGGAAAATGGAAAAGGAAGCATGTAGGTAAAGGGAAAGAAAGAGCCTAAGAGAGTGGGATAGTAGCAAACTGATATCACCAACGGGGAAATGGGGAAAATGGAGGTACTCAACTGGGAAGCATGGAGGGAAGGACATATAAGGAACCATGGTGGTAAAGGGGAAGAAGGAACTCAAGAGGGGGGTAGATAACGGGAGACAGATATTATCAAGGGAAGAATAGGAAAAATGGGGGTGCTTAAACTGGGGAGGGACGAGAGGTTAAAGAGAAGATAGAGATGAATAAAGCTTAGGTGGTGTAAAAGGCCAAAGGGAAATGTATTAACTCAACCCCTCCCCAAAATACACATACAATATCTGAACATGAGTGCATGTATATACTTGAAAGCTATATAACAAGGAGCACTGTCAGATAGGAGAAACCTCCCTTTGAGTTGTTGGTCAATGTAGTCCAGTAGACTCCTAACATAACATGGGCTATTGCCACAGCCCTTGATTACCTCTAAGAATTTGAAGTAAGACCCTATTGCTGAAGACAGGCCATAGGACTTTGAGCAATGGAGCTGGAATTGACCTGGAAGCCTTCTCCCTGAAAACTAGCTCTCATAGTTCTAGAGGATACTATGCAAGCTGCTAAGGGAGAAAATCAGTCAATGTTTCAACCTAGCTGTAAAGCCTAATAACTACAACATCTAGCACAGCAAACTTTCTATATTGGTGCAGTATTGGCACTTTTATCTAGGGGGTAATCAACAGCTATCTAATTGGACTTAAAGCTTTATCAGTGGGAGGGAACTCATGAGTGGTAATGTAAATATAGCCAAATATACATGACTGGAAAGAACCTGGATCCTAGAGAAAATCCTATCTCTGTCATAGCTCTAGATAAGTGAAATTTCTTACTGTATGCTAAATATGGATCCTTATATTTACAGACAAATATACCACAAACCACTCATCAAAGAAGCTTCTTTTTGCAACAGATGGAGGCTATTACAGAGTTTCACAGCTGGTCACACACAGAGAGTGTACACCTAAGGCTCATAGAATATAGCACAATGGGGCAGTGACAGCATGCACAAGACCCATGCCGAGTCAATTAGACAACCCAGCATAGAATAGGGGAAATGGGCAGCAGGTCCAAAGACAAGGTGAGGAGCTATTGGCAACTGATTACTGCTAGGTGACGGAGAGTAGGTCTTCTTTAAGGGAGTGACTCTAGGTAGGCTGACTAGACTCCAATGGATGGATGAACTTGCATTGAAGGACATCTAGGTACAAATGCTTGACTGGATAGGACTTAGTTTATATGACAGAATGCATGAAATCCAGTGTGGTAGAGGCTATGGTGGTGTGTGGATGTGGGAGGGGGACATAAATTTGATATCTATTATTTCAGATGTACAAAACTCAATAAAATTATTTAAAAATATAAAATATTTTAAAAACCTGATACATGCATATACATACTTATATTTACACACATATAAGTTGGTAAATATACATGTATGTGTATTAGAATATTTCTAGATTTAATATAGCTGCTACTATATCAGTCTGTTTCTAAATAACTAAATTCCAGATGTTTCTTTTTTTTCTTTTTTGGTGGTGTAGGGAATTGAACTAAGAGCCTTGTGCATGAAACAACTTACTACTGAGATATGTGTGGTTCATCTTTTTACTTTTTATATTTTTGTTTTTTTTAATTTGAAGAAAAGGTGACAAAAATGGACCCTGGGTCTACCCAGATCATACCTGTTGATTTTAAAATAAAACCACGTTATAAGTATACCTGTGTTTACAATAGAGCTAGACCTGGTGGTGCATGCTTGTAACGCTAGCATGCTGAAGGCTGAGGCAAAAGGATCACAAAGTCAGGCAAATGCAGCACACACAATACTACTAACATCATATTTTCCTGTCCTTTGTCCTACCTGAGTGGGAAGTGTTCAAGGGTAGCATTCCTACATGCCCACGTATTTTAGAGGAAGGATCAAAGAACTGATTTGGCACATGGCTGTGAGCCATTACTACTTCCTTTATATGTGTTAGTAGTTCAGATTCTTGTTGTTGTTGTTTGTTTATAAGAAAATATTTACTTTTAAAGAAAACTTTCATGTTGTTAGATATTATCTACATTTATAATGAGTGATGATGGAAGATTTAATAGAGTCTCTACATAAAGACTGAATATATTTAAAATATTTTATTTATTATTTTTATTTTTGTGTATGAGTGTATTGCCTGCATGCATGTAAGTGCATCTGTGTTGTGCAATGCCACGGAGGTCAGAAGAGGATGTCACATCCCCTGGAACTGGAGTTATGGACAGTTGTTAGCGACTATATTGATTCTGGGAATTGAACCTGGATCCCGTGCAAGAGCAACCAGTGCTCTTAACTGCTGAGCCATCTCTCCAGACCCAACTGAATATATTTAAAGAGAATAAAGTTGCTTCGTTCATCTAATACATTTTCACACACTTTCTATCAGATCATCGTTGGTGGGGTGGCAAGTACATCACAAGATATGCAGGCCTACGCTTCCTGCACATTTTTGGCTGCTAGTATCAAAAGCCAGAAGCAGGGAATTCAGGGAAATCAAGATCCTGCTCAACTTGGAGCAGTTGAAGCCTGTGTGATGTGGCTACTAGAAAATGAGTTCATCCAGATGACAGACTCCAGTGATGGAACAGAAGGTGAATAGTTCTTGTGTGTAATTTATTTACTTTTTATCTTGTATTCACTTTTTAAATTTTGCTTATAAATTTTTATGTGTTAGATAAAATTTTGCTTACAAAATTTATTGGAGCTGAGAAAGTTAATATGCAGTTCAGAAGGATAATGTTTCGCTTTGTTTTTAACATTAACTCTTGTTACTCTGTACTCCCAAACCAGGAAAGGTATATCATCCTACACATCTTGGATCAGCTACTCTTTCTTCTTCACTTTCTCCAGTTGATACCTTAGATATCTTTGCTGACCTCCAAAGAGCAATGAAAGGCTTTGTTTTAGAGAATGATCTTCATATTGTCTATCTGGTAAGTTTCATTAAAAAAAAACAAACAAACTGTTTACTTGCTTATTGACAGGATCTTGGTATGTAGCTGAGCTAGGTCTTGAACTCTTGATTCTCCTTCTAGCTTCTGAATATTGATTTTATAGGTATAAGTTACCATATTGGGCTTGCAATAAGGAAATTTAAAATTGTGTTGCCTTTCTTGTTTCTGTGACAAAATACTCTGACAACAGCAACTTAGGGAAGGAAGGGTTTATTTGGGCTCCCGTTTTGAGGGTACAGTTCATCATGCTGAAGGTGTGGTGGTAGGAGGTTAAGGCAGCTGATCACATTGTACCTGCAAACAGGAAGCAGAGAGTGATGACTGCTAGTGTTCAGCTTGCTTTTTATTCAATTCAGGCCCCTAGCCCAAGGAATGGTGCTACCTACAGCTCAAGAGGGTCTTTCTACCTCAGTTGATCTAATTTAGATAATCCCTTACAGGCATGCCCAGATGCTTGTCTCCTAGGTGATTCTAGATCCTGTCAATTTGACAATATTAACCATAACAAAAAATTTTAAAAAATTTATTATTTTTATGTGTATTGCCTGTATGTTTGCAAGTGCACCCATGTCATGCAGCGCCCTCAGAGGTCAGAAGAGAGTGTCAAATTCCCCTGGAACTGGTGTTATAGACAGTTATTAGCTGCCATGTGGGTGCTGGGAATCGAACCTGGGTCCTCTGCAAGAGCACTCAGTGCTCTTAACTGCTGAACCAAGTCTCCAGCTACACAAAAAGTTTGTTTCATTAGATCATCCTTTATACATGTAATGGATATTTTGATAAGAATTGGATAGCGTTTAAGATCATATTCTTCAGCAAGAACCTACCAGACATTATTTTGTCAATGAAAAGCAAATGTGTGCACTTTGATGATCAATGAAGGGAGGAAGGTAACATTGAAATTTTCACCAGAATAAGGACTTACCAAGAAATGCCTTCAATAAAAACACTATGTATGCAGAAGGTAAATGCCAAAACAGTATCTGTATGTGTACAAATAGATGTATGTATGTAACATACAATACCAGGCTCAATGTTTTATGTCCCAGAAGGTGACTGGGAAGAATCTCAAGCCAGGTCTTATCAGTCATCTACCATGGCCTAAAGATGTCTCATATATTAAACAGTGGCAATAAATATGAGCTCCAGCTCCAGACTTCCTTAATTTGGCTCTTGGCTTCAACAGTCAATAACCGTACAACCTTGGATAAGGAGACCACTGTTTAACTTAACTCTCCTCTTCTCTCCATTCCCTTCCTATTCTCACTTTTGGTTGTTTTGTTGTTTGTTTGTTTAGGTTTTTTTTTTTTTTTTTTTTTTTTTTTTTTTATTGTTTTTTTTTTTTTTGCCTTTGGTGGTCTTGTATTCTCCTTTTTTTATTTATCTCTCCCCTTTCCTCCCTTCCCCTCTTTTTCTCTCTTTTTTTTGTTTTTTTGTTTTTTTTTTTTGTTTTTTTTTTTTTTTTTTTTTTTTTTTTTTGAGATAGGTTCTTACTATGTAGCCTTGGCTGGCCTGGAATTCACTATGTATACTAGAGTGGCCTCAAACTCAAAGAGATCCGATTGGCTCTGCCTCCTGAATGCTGGGATTAAAGACATGGGCCACTATGCTCAAACCCTATGCTCTGCTTTTTCAGATCATAGAGTTGTTTTTTAAATAAGTCAAGGGAAGCCTGGAGAGATGGCTAAGCAGTTAAGAGCACTGGCTGCTCTTGCAGAGGACCCAGGTTCAATTCCCAGAACCCAAATGGTGGCTAACAACTGTTCATAACTCTAGTTCCAAGGGGATCTGATACCTGGATCTGATCTCCATGGGCACTGCATGACATGGGTGCACTTATGTGTATGCAAGGCAATACATGTAAGTCTTACTACTCATTCATGTAAGATAAAAATAATAAATAAAATATTTAAATAAGAGAAGAAAGAGGAAATATGCAATTATTATTATTGTTGTTATTTGCAGTGCTGAGGATGGAGCCAAGGGCCTTGTGCATTCTAGGTAAACCTCTTCCTCTAAATTCTCCAACTCCAGTTATATTGTTTTTAATATGTACTCCTATGGTTACCTTTATGAGCTTTGTTTTTTAGTGTGTAATGGGAATAATACTATTTGAACTTCCTTTCTCTTTCCATCTGTCCCTTCCTAGCTACCCTGAAACTCACCATGTAGTTCAGGCTGGCCTCAAACTTGCAGTCTTCTTACCTTAACTTATTGGTCCTTCAGGCTCTGGTCATGCATCACCACCACACATGGCAGGCTGCTTTTTTTTTTTTTTTTATCTGGAAGAACTTCCTCTAGTACTAAAAATACATTTGCTAGCAAAATTTTCTGTTTGTCTGTCTGATTTATTTTTAGTTTAGAAAGCTAGTTTTCCTTTATGTAAGGTTTCTTAGTTGACAGTGTTTTATTCTTTCTTTGTTTAAGCATGTTGAGTATGTCTCTCTTATTGCATTCTAATCTCCAGTGTTTCTGATGAGAAGTTAGCTTTCAATCTTACTGGGGGTTTTGTTGTAGTTGGTGACTTGTTTTTCTGTCTGTTCCTAGTTTCCGTATGATATAACACTTATACCAAAATCAACTTGGAGAGGAAAGGGTTTATTTGTCTTTTGCTTCTAGGTCATAGGCTATTGTTGAAGGATGTCAGGGCAGGAATTCAACTAGGCTTGAAGCAGCAACTTTGGAGGATTGCTGCTTGGCTTGCTTACTCACAGACTCTTGCGTAGCTAGCTTTCCCCCTCTCTTTGAGACTGTATATTCTCTACCAATCTGTCTTCTGGTTTGTGGATTTTTTCTTATGTCAGCTTGGATTTGCAGTTGAATTCTCTGTATTTTATTGTATTTTTCAACTCTAGGATTCCCTTTGACCCTTATTTTATAATGTTCTTTTCATGTATGTCCTTACTTGTTGAGCATGTCATGCTTTCTTCTTTTACTTTTTTTCCTCCCTCCCTCCCTCCCTCCCTCCCTCTCTCCCTCTCTCCCTCCCTCCCTCTCTCATTCTTTCTCTTTCTTCCCTTCCCTCCCTCTCCCCCTTTCCTTCTTTCCTCTGGCCCTCCCTTGTTTCTTTCTTCCATACCCCTCTTCCTTCTTCTCTCCCTCCCTCCTTTCCTTCCTTTCTTCCAACAGTGCCTTGCTTTGTAGACCAGGTTAGCCCCAAACTTGCTATGTCGACTGTACTGGCTTTGACTTTACCATTTAGATCAGAGGTGTCAAACGTTGGATCCTACTGCCTTACCAACCCAGGCTCTGAGGATTACAGGTTTGCACTCTTTTATTTCTTTAAGCCTGGTTTTCTTTAACCACTTTCATAATGCCTTTGCTTTGAAGCCTCTGCTTTTCCAACATCTGGACTCTCTCAAAGGTGTTTCTTTGCCTGCTTTTCTCCCTGTGCTCAGGACACTTGTGTCTTTCTTATTTGTCTCATAGTTTTCTTATTGAATCCTGAACCTTTTAGGTAGTATATCAACACTGTGAGTATTGATTCTTTTTCTCTCATCTATTCTTTCTGTTTGATCTTTTCCTGGAAGTTAGAGAAAACAGGATTATATCTCAAGTCAGACTATTTAGGTTTAAAATGTTCTGTGAAATCCAGTTTGTATGCTTATCTCTCTCTCAGTGTCTTACTGTTTCTCTCTATCTCTCAGTGTCTCTCTGTTTCTCTCTCTCCCTCTCTCTGTTTTTGTCGTAGCAGTGAATTCATTTTGGATAAGTGTTTTCATATAAATGAGGTATAATCACAGACATTTTCTGCATTGGAGGTCTTTGTCTTTACTATTAAGTTTATATTTATAATTTTGTTACTTTTATAATGTAATAGGTTGGTTTGTTTGTTTTTGTACAGTGCTGAGTCTTGAACCCATGGCCTTGCACATGCTAGGCAAGTGTTTTACCATTTGAACTGCCTTTGTAGGCCACTGTCAAGCAATAATTTTAACTAATGTGTGATGCTTCTTCCCTTTAGGTTACACCTATGTTTGAAGATTGGACTGCTATTGACTGGTATCGGTTTTTCTGTATATGGGAGAAGTTACCAACGTCTATGAAAAGGGTGGCAGAGCTGGTAGGAGTTGAGGAACGGTTCTTGGCTCGCTGTGTGAAAGGAAAAGTAGTAGCCAGGACAGAGAGACAGCACCGACAAATGGCCATCCATAAAAGGTAAACATTGGAAGCTGGGGCTCTCAGCATTATCAGTGTAGAATCCTCAGATATCCAATTAAAGTAGTCCTTTTCATTGTCAATAACAGAAACATTTTGACTGACTGTAGGAACATTTTTCAGGTTCCATTTATTGAACTTATTGATATTTTCATTTTCCTTGCAATTTATGATTCACTAGTCATGATGTACAAAGGTCTTTTAAAGTAGAATACCTAATCATTTCCATGATTTATTTTTAGGTTTTTCACAAGTCTGGTGTTATTAGATTTAATCAGTGAGATTCCCTTAAAGGAAATTAATCAGAAATATGGATGCAATCGTGGACAGATTCAGTCTTTGCAACAGTCAGCTGCTGTTTATGCAGGTTAGTTAAACAAAGCATTTCACATTTTAGACTATGGTTTAAGGGTGTAAAGATTACTTTTTTAAAAAACTTCCCTTTATTTAAGCCTCTCTAAAATTGCCATAATCCTACAGAGTCCCTAACATCATCATCAGGTGTCAAATTAGGCTCCTGGGAGCCTACTAGCACTCTGAAAAACCATTAACAAGCCCAGTGTCTGGATCTTACTCCCCTTCCATTCCTAAGCAACCTGCTGACTCTACCTCTCTGACTCTGGTTTTTCCCCACCCCCTTCTTTTTTCCCCCATTTTACAAGAAGAAACAGAAAGTTCTCAATGGCATTTCTTTCTTCATAGTACTAATTAATAACAGATTTTGGGAAAGAAGATGGCAGATAAAAAAAGATTTGTGGACTCTCATCTGACTTTTTAAAATAGCATGTCTTAGAAAATATTCTAAGCTAGACAGACATGGATATTCTAGGTCTGATTTTACTAAGGAATCTTTGACAGCCCTAGGAAGGAAACCTTGAGCTACTAAAAGATGTGTGTATTTTTGTGTAAAAGGCTTCCTTGTGAATGTATGTGCATATGAGGGACAATGGGTGCAATGAAGCAATGGAGTCACTGTTCCATGCACTGGCATCAAAGCTGGATTTTCATCCAGGGCCAGTGTACTTATGGAGAAGAGACTTTCTTAGTAAGTGACACTTGGATGCTCTGATCTCTCTTTCAAGATGGTAAAACTGTGGAGCAGGACAGTCTTTCTTTGAAGAAAATAATAATGTGAATGTCATTCTTTGTAGTTCTCTTAGCATTTGAATTTTTTAATTCATTTGTCCTGAAGAGGCCCTCCTATTTTGTTAGCATTCTCTTTTCCTTAAGAAAGTTAGGGAAGGAGGGGCTGGAGAGATGGCTCAGAGGTTAAGAGCACTGACTGCTCTTGCAGAGGACCCAGGTTCGATTCCCAGCACCCACATGGCAGGTACGAACCGTCTTTAACTCCAGTTCCAGGGGAATCCGAAGCCCTCTTTTGACTTCCGCGGCATTGCACGACACGTGTGCACTCATATACATTCAGGCAATACAGCCCATACACATAAAATAAAAATAATATATTAAAAAAACTGTTTAAAAAAAATAAAGGGAAGGAAAGTGAAAGTGGGCTAGACTGAGGACTTTTTGTTCCTTTATGTATATGCTCTGCCTCAGTAGCCAAATTTTATTAGAGTTCAGAGTCAGTTGGGTCTGGAGAGATGGCCTCATGTATAAAGTACTTGCTCTGCAAGCATGAGGTCTTGAGTTCAGATCCCCAGCACTGAGTACCCAGGCATCGTAGTGCATACCTGTAATCCCAATACTGGCGGGGCAGAGGATCCTAGGGACTTGCTGGCCAGCTGGTCTAGTCAGTTGGTGGGCTCCAAGTTCAGTGAGTGAGCCTATCCCATAAAGTAAACTGTAGAGTGACAGAGGAAGACACCTGATGTCTATCTCTGGCCTCCACATGTGCACACATTGATGCTCACACTCATGTACATAATACATGCACACAAAATAAAAATTCAAAATTAAAAGAATAAGGGAGATGACATTTAATGTAGTATATGTCTTGTCCATTTAGCTAGACTTTTAATATTTGTCTGTTCCCCTGTTAACTTTTCCTTTGGGCCCAGTTAAACCTTACATTCTGCAGGAAAAAGCAAAACCAAACCTAACCAAACAAAACACACACACACACACACACATGCACACACACACACACACACATACATACACACATACACACACAAATACATACACTTACATATGTATTTATACATGTTTATATATACATACATGGAGACTTAGCCTAAAAAGAGTTTTTAATTCAACAAATCTTCTTTGAATGTCCTAGGTATGATCACAGTGTTTTCTAACCGCCTGGGCTGGCACAACATGGAGTTGCTGCTTTCCCAGTTTCAGAAGAGGCTTACATTTGGCGTCCAGAGGGAGCTGTGCGATCTGATCCGGGTGTCCTTGCTTAATGCTCAGAGAGCCAGGCAGCTCTATGCTTCTGGCTACCTTACTGTAGGAGACCTTGCGAGAGCTGATACCGCGGAGGTGGAGGTGGTGCTGAAGAATGCTGTGCCTTTCAAAAGGTAGCAGCTCCCTTTGTCTGTGTTAGCGCTACTAAATGATTTAAGTAATAGAAAATATATCAAAACATTTTTCTTGTAGAGAATCTTATTACATGGTATGACAGAAAATGTGGCTACTTTTTTCTCTTGAGGATTACTTTTTATTTCTTTTTACAAATTTTGCGTGATTGAAAAGGCATGTGTAAAATGGTCATAATTCTCTCCTTCAAAGACTGAGTACAAGTAAGGTACCAGTGTTTTCTGCTTTGAAAATTTTGATTTTCATTACATCTCCAGAGCTCATCTTAAACTTTGGTCAAGAGTACTTTACAGTGCATGCCTTTCAAATGTGCTTTGGAATACTAGCCCCTCAAAACAGCTTGTGAAAAGAGGTTCTTTTGCTGTGTTTGGAGGGGGGGAGGTACTAACAACACCCTGCATGGACTGGTCTATACTCAAGGAATTATTTACTTTCTCTGTGAGTTCACTCCAAAATTTAAAAAAAATGAGGCAGAGATTACGGCTCTTCGGTTACTTTCAGGCACTAGCAATTTTATTTTCATGAACATTACAAATGTATTCTAGCCAGGCGCAGTGGTGCACGCCTTTAATCCCAGCACTTGGGAGGCAGAGGCAGGTGGATCTCTGTGAGTTCGAGGCTGCCTGGTCTCCATGGTGAATCCAGGACCACTGGGGCTACAGGGAGACCCTGTCTCAAAAAGACCAAAAAAAAAAAAAAAAAGTATTCTAAGCCAGATGTGGTGGTGTACACTTTTAATCCCAGTACTCAGAAGGCAAGCATTATTTGTGCGATCAGGGCCAGCTTGGTCTACATAGCAAGTTCCAGGCCAGCTGTGGCTGCAGGGAGGCCTTGTCTCAAAAAGAAAAAAGACATATATTCTCAGACCAAGCTTCCATCTCACATCCTGTTCAGTGTTTCTTCCCTCCATAGCATGCTATGCCTGATTCATGGTCTAAAACCTACAGCTTGTATGGGAAGGAATGGGGGTGTAGTCTCTTATAAACCTCTTGGCTTTTATACATCGCTTGCATTACTCTTTCTTGTTAATGATTTTAAGGTTTAAGGTGAGAAGAGATGAGCTGTAAAGGGACAGAAATTCTTCTTGAGTGGTGTTTCTTTAATGCTGGCCTATGTCCACACTGAAGCTTTTTCTTGATGGTGGTTTTGTTTTTATCCCCATTTAAAATCAGATGTATTTGCTTTACAAGTGATTATAAAAGTCTACATGTTCATTGTGGAAAATTTGAAAAATGCCAAAAATATAAAGCATAATACTAAATCGTTTATAATTCCACTAATTAGCTATAATCAATAATTGATATTAACAGCAAGGTGTGCCAGGGGATGAATGTTCTACCTAGAACAAACCTCTTCTTTTCATAGACTCTTTGGAGATAAACCGTGCTCAGAAGCATGTACTAGTAGTTCCTGAGGTAAAGAAAATCAGATGTAGTCAGGCATGGGAATAGTATACCACGGATCATCCATAACTCTTCAGGGAGTCATCTGAAGGCAATACACATTTTTAAAGGATGAATTGAAAGCACTTGCTTGTTTGTAAGCACACCTTGTGGATCACTTCTGTATTGTGATAAGGTTGATGCTGCCATGATTATGCCTATACTGAGGTCTAGAGCCTTTACTCATGAAAATTAGTTATATTGACAATTTACTAAGTTGCATTCTCCTGTCAGACTACTGCTGGAAGACCAGTTGCTTCAAAACCACACCAACAGAGCCAATCCTTGTTTTTAGATATATTTAAGTATGGCTTTTCTTGGCACCTGTGCCATTGTGAGTGGTGGTGAATATCCTTTTATATGTTTCTGGGCTATCTTTGTGGATTATCTGATTAGGTCTTTTCCTTAGATTTGTGTTGGATTTTTTTTTTTCTCCCTTAAAGAACTTACTCTTTTTCAAATTCATTTGAATGTTTTTGCTTTCTACCTGATATGTATATGAATGCTTCTTCACAACTTGGCTTTTATGGTGCTTTCGACAGTCTAAATTTTAATTTTGTGCGTGCATGTGTGTGTATACGTGTGTGCAGGTATACATGGTCATGCATGCACGTTCAGAGGCCACTAGAGGACATCAGGTGCCCTCTATTGTCTTCTGTCTTACTCTCTTGAGACTGGGTCTCTCACTGAAGCTGAAGCTTGCTGTTTCTCAAATAGGCTGATGGACAACAGGCCCTAGCAATCCTCCTGTCTCTGTCCCTCTTACCCTGCTCACTTTCCTTTATGTCCTCATGTGTCCAGATGTCTAGAGGTCAAATTCTTGTCCTTATGGGTTTTTATAGAGATTTCATTACATAAACATGGAAGAAAAGTACATGATCTACTACTGATTGAGTGGGGAAACCCAACTGGCCTGTTTAGTGATATGAATTTTCTATGATTGCTGCTTTAAATGTAATCTATACATTGTGATTTGTAGGATTTCATTGTACCTTTGGAAGTGATGTAGTGTTTCCTTTTTACCAAATTCAATAGGAGACGTAAGTTAGTGGCGAGTGGTTCCATTGTGGGATTTTCATATGTGTATGTCGTTTCTATTTTATGACATTCATGTTGCTGATGTCTTTGTGACTAATGTGTGATCAGTACAGAGCAGGTATGTTTTTTGTTATATGATATAACATTTGAAATATAGTCATGTGTTCATTAGTATCCTTTTTCTTGCTTTTTCCCTCACCTTACTCTAGGCAGTTACATTTTTTCTTTTAGCGAGAGTTGTTTTTAGTTTACTATTTTTAGTGCATTTCTTTCTCCTTGAATTTCCTGTAGTTTTGCTTCATAAAAGTGGTTACTTATTACTTGACATATAAATAAATATTCATAGCTGAGCTCTCTCTCTGTCTCTCTCTGTCTCTCTCTGTCTTTCTCTCTTTCTTCTGTGATTGTGGTTTTGAGCATTAGTTGTGCCCTTTGTCACGTTTCAGGCTGGCTTCAGTCATGTTCTGACACTGGAACAGCTCTCCTTGCTGTCTTGCTCCCCTTTCTTTGAACTTCTTTGCCTTCAGCTTTTAGACATCCTTTGCATTGGAATCCTTTTGTGCACCACACTTTGTGGTAGTTGCATTTTTCATATGAACCAACTGAAAATCTTTTTCTATTAATAGAAGGTTCAGTTTTATTTTTATTTAATTGATACAGTGGAGAAGTTTACTCTTATTTTTCTCAAATTATTTTTCAATTATGTGTATTTTATGACACTTGCCGTGTTTTTCTGTGTTGGGTGTGCTTTGCTGCTCTGATTTTAAATTTTGAAAGATGTGTGCTTTTGTTATGGTAAATTGCGTTTGTGCTCTGCATTATCTGGTTCATCAAGATTTTAGTAGTGTCCTGTAACTTACTCTCTGCTATAGCCATTGAGCTTACCCTTCTTTCTCTTTCCCTTTTCCCATTTAAAAGAAGATTTATTATTTTTATGTGTATGACTGTATTGCCTGTATGTATGTAAGTACATCTGTGTTGTGCAATGCCCAAGGAGGTCAGAAGAAGGCATCAGATCCCCTGAACTGGAGTTAATGGACAGTTGTTAGCTGCCAGGTGGGTGCTGGGAATCAAACCTGGGTCCTCTGCAAGAGCAGTCAGTGCTCTTAACCTCTGAGACATCTCTTCAGCTCCCCCTCCCATTTTTAAGGTACTTTTTTTTTCTACTTTGATTTAACATATAACATTTGTACATTAAATTTTTTTTAACCTTTGTCCTCATTTTGTGGAGGGTGAGGATGCAAGGCTGGTATAACCTGCATTTTTATTTGTTGAAATTCTAACCTTTAGTCTTATTGCTGAAGTACTCCCAGGTATCTCTTAATTGGATGAACTCATCATCCCTTAGACATTGTTTGAGGAAGGCTTAGCATACAAAATCCCTCAAGTTCCTGTATGTTTGACAGTGTTCCTTTCTAGCCTTAAATGTTTGAGGCACAGCTTAGCTGAATATAAAATCCTTGGTCTGCCCCCACCCTCTAGACAAGACCTTCTTATTTAGCCTGGGCTGGCCTTGAACTTGAGATCTTCTGCCTCAGTCTCCTGAGTGCTGGGAGGATACTGACCTATGCCAGGACACCCAACTTCTCTTTTTCCTTTGATTGTTTTTGAAGATACTCATCCTTTGTTGGTTTGGAGTTGGAGTCCTTTTCCTTGTAAGTAATTTAATCTTTTTGTAATAGGACTTGGAATTTTTTTTTAATCTTTGAAATTTAATACCCATGTTAGTTACCTATTTTATGTAGCATATTAACTTAAAAACAGTGGCATAAGAATAACTAAACACTTAGTATCCCCCTGCTTCTGCAAGTAATGGATCTGGGAGCCTCTTTGATGGTGGTTCTAGTTGGGGTCTCTCATAAGGTTTTAGCTAAGTTGTTGGCTGAGACTGTGGTCATCCAAAGGGTTGGCTGGGTCTTCCTCTAGCATGACTCATGCATATACTGACAGGTCAATGCTTGATATACTCCGTAGGACCAGCCCATTCAAATTTTACAATGGTTTACACTCCTGGAGTGAGTGATACAAGAGAGGGCAAAAAATGCAAGCTGCAGTGGCTTTTATGCCTATTCTTGGTTTCTCAGTTCTTTGGCATGAGAGGCTGAATTCGTTCCTGTTACTTTATCGTGAGGTCTCTCAGCCATTCTTTCTTTCTTTTTTTATTTGTTTTTATTGAATTTTTGTGTATTTTTATATAGAATATCTCAAACAATCTTAATCATCTTTATACTCCCATTCCCGCCGGTGCCCTCCCATGAGTCCTCCAATGGAACCCAAAGCCCAGTGTGTCAAGTCCGTGACCCCAGATGTTCCCCAGTGCAAGTCTATCCACTGAGGTCTAGTCAGCCTATCTAGAATCTCTTGTTTTAGGAAGATCTGCTCTTCCTCACCTAGCAGTAATCAGTTACCAATGTTTCTTTAGCTAAGATTGGGGTCTGATGTTCATTTCTCCAGTTCTATGCTGGGTTTTTGTCTGCCTGAGTTTGCATGGGACTTGTATATGCTGACACCATTGCTATAGAATCATATGAGCAGGTTCCCAGGAGCTTTTAGAACTATGTTTCCATATGGTCCTGCACCTCCTCCCTGGCTCTTACAGTCTTTATGCCCCCTTTTCTGCGATGGTCCTGAGTTCTGGCTGGGTCACTACTCATCAAAGAAGCCTATTTTGCTCCAGTCATAGACTATTACCAAGTACTACAACCAGTCACACACAGACATTGTCTATGAATTTCCCAGGCCTAGTGACATACCTACAATGCAATTTCTGCACCTAATGTGCACAGAACATAGAACAGGGGTAATGAAGACAACACTAATGAATCTCTCAGTTCTCATTAATGAAGATCCCTCATGCAGCAGAAGGCCAGGACATAAAAGGTCACTAATGGCCAGAAGAGATTAAGAGTCTACAGATTGTGGGTCCTTGAACAGGACTCCTACATTATTTCTCTAGCCCCTGTCTCAAAAAGACCATATATGTATATATATTTTTTTAATTTTTTAATTTTTATATGTATGAATGTATTGCCTACATGTATGTAAGTGCACCTGCGTCATGCAGTGCCCATGGTGGTCAGAAAAGGGCATTGAATTCCCCTGGAACTGGAGTTACAGACAGTCGTTAGCCACCATGTGGGTGCAGGGATTTGAACCTGTGTCGTCTGCAAGAGCAGCCAGTGCTCTTAACTGCTGAGCCATCTCTAGCCACTCAGCCATTATTTCTTTACTTTTTTTTGCCCCATCTTTTTCTCCTCCTGGTACTTCAATGATATATTTGTTTGACATTTTAGGATTTAGACCATTGTTCTATCCAGAGGAGCATTGATATTTTTATCAGTTAGGTTTGGCTGAACTCATACTCCCAATTTCATACTTCCTGTGATGAGTGGTAGCTCAAGTCTCTGTTAAGACTTTAACATTTTTTTTTGCCAGTTGCATTATACTGATTTCACTTTATTTTTTAGTATGTTGTTTGATTTTTTTCTATATTTTGAGTACATGAATAAATACATGCATAAATGAAATACTAGTGTAGTTTAGTGCATTCTTATATCTCTTCCAGGACCCTTGTCCTTGATAGTTCCTTACATGAATTCATGAGCACATTTCCATCCAAAAGCTTCTGCTCCATGTATTTCTTTCTTTGGTGATAGTGCAATAAATACTTAGTCCTCAGTGATGGAAATCTTATAAACCTGCCAATTGTACCAAGTCAAGGCAATTCAATACTAATAAACTGATTCAAATTTGTTTCTTCTTTTATAAAAAATTTGTTTTTATTGATTTTTTTTGCATATTTCAAAATTACATTTATCTTGTGTGTGCGCACACACACACACACACACATGGTTCAGTCAGAGGACAACTTGTGGGAGTTGGTTCTTTCCTTCTACCGTGTGGGTCCTTGGGACTGAGCTGGGGTGTCAGGCTTGGCAACAAGCACCTTTACCCACGGAGCCATCTCTTTAGCCTTTAAGTTATTTGGAATATGACCAAACTGGCAAAATTTAGAGTCAGATATGAAGACAGAGTTACTTTTCTGGTTCTGTCTCATTTCTAGACATTCCCCTTCAGGTCTAACTGCTCTGGGTATGCGGAGCTCTGCTCTGAATTCAGGCTCCAGGTTTTACCATGGTGCTGAGTAGAGCCTGCCTTCCCAGAAGTGTGTGAAGATTCAGCCACTGCCATTTCTTCCTTCTGAGTCTTAATGCCTTCCAGGTTGTGCTTTCTCTAGTCCCTTCACATATTTGCTTTAGCCTTTTTTTGTGTGTGGGAGGATTTATTTTAAATGAAAAAAAAATTGTGTTTTTTTTGTCTTTTTGAAATAGGGCCTCTCTGTAGCCCCAGCTGACCTGGAACTCGCCATGTAGACCAGGCTGGCCTCGAACTCACAGAGACCCACCTGCCTCTGCCTCCCAAGCGCTGGGATTAAAGGTGTATGCCACCATGCCCAGCCTGTTTTTTTGAGACAGTGTCTCCCTATACCCCAGCTGGCCTAGAACTCACCCTGTGGGCCAGGCTGACCTTGATCTCACAGACATCAGCTTGCCTCTGTTTCCTGAGTGCCAGGATTAAAGTCCTGCACCACCATGCCTGGCTCAGTGAAAATTTTTTTGACCTTCATTTTTTAAAGTTTTTTTTTTTTTTTCCCGGAGAGAATCTATCCTAGTAGGATTTTCCTTTTTTCAATGCTATTTAAAAATTGCAGAACCACCCATCCATTTCTGGTGCTTCATCTTGTATATAACTCTTACACCAGCTGACATAGAATGAATTTTAAACGTTTGTTTATTTTCCATCTTCCCCAGCTAGAATGTGAATACCCTGTAGCATCTCTCTGTTATTCAGTGCTGTCATTCATCCCCTTAGAACAGCTTAGACTGAATGAATGTGTTATATGAGTGAATGAATCAGTGTACTAACGTTCTTTCTATTTCCTTGAATAGTGCCCGAAAAGCTGTGGATGAGGAAGAGGAAGCAGTTGAAGAACGTCGTAATATGCGAACTATTTGGGCGACTGGCACAAAGGGTTTAACTGAAAGGGAAGCAGCAGCCTTGATAGTGGAAGAAGCTAAAATGATTCTGCAGCAGGACTTAGTTGAAATGGGAGTGCACTGGGATCCAAATTCACCCTTGAGTTCTAACACGCATTCACTGACTAGTAGCGAGTCAGAAATAAAGGCACACACATTTAAATCCCAAGCTAAGAGTTCTTATAAAAGATTAACATCAAAGAACAGAAGCAGTGTACGATTGAGTGATTCTTCTGAAAAGCAGTCACCAAATACAGTGCGAGATTTAGATAAAAATAGTGAGCATGCAGATTCCTCTTTTTGTACCTTCCAGGAAGGGAGTCACAAACATCAGGCACATTCCATGTTCAGAGCAGGAAAATGGACTTCCTTGTGCATAAATGAAGAAAACCTTGCAACCTCTCTGGACGATGGAAAACCAAGCACTAAGGAAGTTGCTCAGACTTTCTCATTGGAGAAAACAAGAAAAACTTCTTTGAATTCAAGTTCAGAGAAAACGGGCACCAGTTTTCCATCTTGGAAACACAGAAAGTATAGGAAATTGTCTTGGGTCAGTAACTCCATGCCTGACTCGGGGATGCAGAGAGTTGATTTACAAGGACAGACTATATCCAAACCTGTTTTAAATGAAGACTCATTTTCTTCAGATGAGCAGAATATGGAATTTAGAAGTTCAGGACTATTTACCAAAAACCAAAAATTTACCAAAAATTTTCCTTTTTGTGCCAAGGAAAAATACAACAAAACCTCATTCCTGTTACATATGCCCCAGTCTTGCTTACAGAAAAGAACAAAAAGGAATGGTGTTGCTGTGGGACATTTTGTTGCAGGATCCCCAGGTATGACTAGTAATGGAAGAGGATTAGCTGTCATTGAGACGGAAAAACTAAATGAAGTGCAGATAGAGACTGGCTCAGAAGACCAGGATGTTTCTGTGAAGCATCATGATATCCATCCAGTTAGCCAGTGCCTGGAAAGGCAATGTGATAAGCGGACAAGCACTTGCATTCAACAGAAAAAACTTAAGGAGAAAGAAATGCTCTGTGAAGCAGTAAGTAGTTATATGTCTAGAGACTCAAGTGTTACCAGGACTATCAAATATGACAACGTAAAGCTTAGTAGCAAGGAAAAGAAATCAAATCACTGTCAGGCATTAGGAGGTGATAGAAGCAGAACTAAGGTGCCTAGTAGGTTACTTCAGTCAGCTGCAGAATTTGGTCAAGCAAGAGGCCAACATGAGAACTTTCTTAATTCTTCTAGAGTACAAGAAAACACAGATACTTACATAACAAACAAAACTGAAAAAAATCATGTTTCTAACTTAGGTTTAGTCTTCTGTGATTTTGGAGATAGTTTCTGCCTAGATACTCAGTCAGAAAAAATAATCCAACAGATACCAACTGAAAATGACAAACAAGGAATAAAGGCTACCACCCTGGGAGCAGGCCTAATAGAGAGGAGTGTAGACACTCAGAGCTTAGAGCACTCTCCTCAGAATGAGAGTTGCAGAACTCCTGGTGAGCGGCATTCCCCAAGAATATCTAATACAGACCATTTGGACATTAACATGGTAGATACTGTGAACCAAAGCACTGAAAACGCCACCAATAGGCTAACTCCAGAAAGCCCAAATTTTCATTCTCCAATACTCCTGGGGGAAAATGAACCTGGCTTTAAAGAGAATGAACATTCTGTTACTGACTCCCAATTAAACAGTTTTCTTCAAGGTTTTCAAACACAAGAAATGGTGAAACCAGTCATACCACTGGATCCTCAAACAAGAACTCCCACTAGTATAGAGGAAGAGTGTCTACTGGGCCCTGAAAGCAGTTTGAATATGAGTGATAGTATACTATTTGACAGTTTCAGTGAAGACTACCTAGTAAGAGGACAGTCATCTGATGTACAAGCAAAGCAGCCTCTCCTTTCTGAAACAACAACAGCACATTTCAGCAATTCTCCCTGCCTACAAGAGGACCCAATTATAACAGCAAATGTAAATAAGCATCAAGATACTCAGCAGCAGTTGACTTGTTTCAGTGGTGACTCTATTATATTTTCAGAAATGGATTCTACTGAGATGGCTGAAGCTTTAGACAATATGGCTATGTTTCCTGCCCAAGAGAAATGTAACTCAGTGTCTCTTAGGGATTTAGAACTAAGTGATTCTGAAGTGAGAGGTAATGAATATCCTCAAGGAGCAGTAATTGGAGGAGATCAAAGGGGAGGAGCCCAAGAGTCCAAACTCACTGAGACAAGGCAAGATAATTCATTATTATGGTCAGGGATATCATTTGACTTAAGTCCAAGACTACAAAGGATTTTAGATAAAGTGTCCAGCCCTACAGAAGATGAAAAGCCAAAATTAACACACACAAACTTGTCTTGCTTGAAAGGAAAAAGTATAGAATTAAATGAGAGACAGGAAATGAATTCAAGTTTGGAGACAGTTCAAGTTCAGAGAACTTCATTTTTCCCTAATAACGAAGTTAAAAGCAAGGTTGAGGCGCTAGAGAACAAGGCCAGTCCTGGTGGAGCGTCATCTCCCTCACCTTGTAAAGAAAGCTCTGTAGCTAATGATAATGGCCTCATTCCTCCCACACCCTGTCCAGTGCCTGCTTCGAAGCTGGCATTTCCAGAAATTCTTGGCACATCTGTGAAACATCAGAAAACTAGTAGTGTCTTACAGCCTGGCGAAGCTTCTTTATTTGGCTCACCTTCAGATACTCAAAACCATCATTTAAGTCAAGAGAGTAGAAATGGTTCCAAAGGTGTCAGTCCTGATCTAGGCACAAGTATTTCTCTGCAGTTGTCTCAGGATGGATCACAGTTAACTCCAGTCTCATGCAATTCGGAGAGCTTGACCATAATTGATGTAGCAAGTGACCAAACTCTGTTTCAAACGTTTGTGAAGGAGTGGCAAGGCAAAAAGCGATTTTCCATCTCGCTGGCTTGTGAAAAGATTAGAAGTTCAATGTCTTCTAAAACTGCCACCATTGGTGGTAGGTTTAAGCAAGGTATTTTTTAATTTCAATTTTTTCTGCCTTTATGAATTAGTGGCCTGAAATTTAGAATTTTTTAGTAATTAGGTGTTATATACAATTTATTCAAAATTGAATAAGTATATCCTTTTAATAAGTGTCTTCTCTGTGAATATATGTATACTGCAGCTTTTATTTATTTGACCTGACTAGTTATTTATTGCCCTCCATTGAGAGAGCTATCCATCATATTTTAATGGGAATATATACAATTTATTCAAAATTGAATAAGTATATCCTTTTAATAAGTGTCTCCTATGTGAATATATGTATACTACAGTTTTATTTATTTGGCCTGACTAGTTATTTATTGCCCTCCATTGAGAGGGCTATGCATCATATTTTAATGGGAATATAAATTTATAAAAATAAAGATAATAAGCATCTCTGGGTGTCCCAGCCCCACAGCTTCCTGGAGCCAGCAGCTATCCTGGGTAAGTTTGGTTGAACCCAATGTGCCTTGATGCCCCCAGCCTCATTAACCCTCCCAGCTCCCCCACCCCATCTCTCCTCCTAGCAGGGGGACTGGCACATTTCTTGTCTTGGCACCCCAGACCTTTGGGTTGATCTCTTGGCCCAAACTCCCCACTGTTTCCTAAACCTTTGCATCCAGACCAACCCAATTCCTCCCTTTAGTCCCCGGGAGCCCTTGGGGCCTCTTCCAGTCCCCACCTCCCTTTGCCTCTCTAGGCAGCCCAGCCCCATAGCTTCCTGGAGCCAGCAGCTTTCCTGGGTAAGTTTGGCTGTGCCCACTGTGCTTGAATCCATCAGCCTCATTCACCCTCCCAGCTCCCCCACCTCATCTCTCCTCCTAGCCTGGGTACTGGCCCATGTCTTGTCTTGGTACCCCAGACCCCTGGACTGACCTCTTGGCCCAGTATCCCCACTGCTTTCTGATCCTTTGCATCCAGACTAACCCAATTCCTCCCTGTAGTCCCCAGGAGCCCCTGGGCCTCTTCTTGTCCCTACCTCTCTTTGCATCCCTGGGGACCAGCATCTTTCCTGGGCCCTGCTCCCAGGCCAGTCCAGCCTTCAAATTCCTGAGGCCAGCATCTTTCCTAGAGGGATCCAGACCATATGAGAAAGCCTGAGAGTTTCTGAGCCTCATCTGATTTGAGCCTCTGGGAACTCCTGAGCAGCAACAGGAAAACGATTTGGCCACTCTAATATAACATCAAAAGAGAGAACCTGAAGCCTAGACCAACCAGCTTTTCATGCCCAACAAGTAAACCACAGAGTCACATAAAGTTTAGAAAAAGAAGCAGACCTAAACTCAACAAAGGAGGGCTTGACTCTGACAGAAGAATCAGAATCTACAAAAGAAATCCACATGTCAAATTCACAGAGAAAAAAATAACATGAAAAACCAAAATAATGTATCCCCACCTAGTACCAACAGTCCTCTAAAGGAGTACAATGAGAACCTCTTAGAGATAACACAGGACATGGAACTCAAAAGAACAATTATAAGCATGATAAAAGAATTCATTGAATTTAAAGAACACACAAAGAAAGAAATCAAAGAACTGAAAGAAGGTAGGGATAAACTTCTGAATGAATTCAAAAAAGAGTTAGAAATCTTGAAGAATACTTAGGCTGAAATGAAGAAGGAAGTGAAACACTCGGTAAGCCAATTAGAAATGAAAGGAGAAAGCCTCACCAATAGAATGAATGAAATAGAAAACAATATCAAGACTGGAAGATAATGTGGACAAATTAGACCACTCAAGCAAAGATTTTGAAAAATTTAAGAAAAAAAAAGAATACAATATGCAGAAATTGTGTAACATTGTAAAAAGACCAAACTTATAAATCATAGGCACACAGGAGAAGAATCTCAGGATAATGGTATGGACCAGATCATCAACAGAATTGTAGAAGAAAATTTCCCCAAATTAAAGAAAGACATGCCCATACAAATACAAGAAGCATATAGAACACCAAATAGACAGGACCAGAAACAAAACTCTCCACGGCACATCAGAGTAAAAACACTAGATGTTCAGAACAAAGAGACAATGCTGAAAGCTGCAAAAGAAAACAAGTCACATATAAAGGAAAACCCATCAGGATTACAGCTGACTTTTCAGTGCAAACTATGAAAGCCAGAAGAGCCTGGACTAAAGTATTCCCAGTTCTAAATGACCACAGATGTCAACCCAGATTACTTTACCCAGCCAAAATGTCTATCATAGTTGAAGGGGAAAGAAAAATCTTCCATGAAATAAATAGGCTGAAATAATTCATGTCCACAAAACCAGGCCTTCAGAGAGTTCTTGAAGCAATACAAGAGCTGAAGAAAGGAACAACTATACCCAAGGGGTTATGGAAAGAAATTTAATGAAGGTATAACAATGGAAATGCACAGCTACACCAAGAATGTAAACAGAAATAAAAATGACAGGAATCAATATGCATCTTTCATTAATAACTTTAAATATCAATGGACTGAACTTCCTAGTCAAAAGACAGACTAGTTGAATGGATTAAGGAACAAAACCCATCTTTTTTGTTGTCTGCTAGAAACTGATCTCACTTTCAAGGACAGGCACTACCTAAAGGTGAAAGGATGGAAAAAAAAATATAAAAAGCAAATGGTACTAAGAAAAAAGGAGGCATTGTAATTCTAATATCTGACAAAATAGACTTTAAAACTAATCAGAGTTAAAGAGGGCCACTTCATTCTGATCAAAGGAACAATTGACCAAGAAGATAATACAATTATGAAGATATATTCACCAAATTCTGGCGCACCCAACTTCATAAAATCAGTACTACAGGACTTTAAGACCCAGATTAATACCAACTCATTAATAGTTGGGGGCTTCAATACCCCATTATCTCCATTAGATAGGTCAATAGGACAGAGAATTAACAGAGAGACATCTGAATTAAACAATACCATACATCAAATGGGCCTAACAGACATCCACCGAATATTCCACCCAAGCACCAAAGAATATACTTTCTCTTCAGCGCCCCATGGAACTTTCTCCAAAATTGACCATATACTGGGGCACCAAACAAACCTCAACAGATAGAAAAAGAGTGAAATAATTCCATGCGTTCTATCAGACCAGAATGCAGTAAAGCTTAAAATCAACACTGGAAGAAACTGTAATAACTTCATGAACACACAGAGATTAAACAACGCACTCTTGAATGATTAATGGGTCAAAGGAAAAACTAAGAAAGAAATAAAAGTATTCCTGGATGGTACAACACAACAAAATGAACAATGTTCATTTTGAGCAGGACAGTACAACACAACAAAACCTCTGGGAAATGTTGAAAGCAGTCCTTAGAGGGAAGTTTATAGCTCTAAGTGCCTACATTAAAAAAATCAGAGCACAGATAAATGACAACATTGCAGCTCATGACACTCGAAAAGCAACAGCAAATGAAGCCCAATCCGCGCAGACAATAAGAAATAACAAAAATCAGAGCAGAAATTAATAGAAACAAAACAATACAAAGAATCAATGAATCCAAGAGCTGGTTCTTTGAAAAGATAAACATGATTGACAGACTGCTAGCCCAGTTAACCAAAAGAATGAAAGAGAACCTCCAAATCAGGAAAATCAGAGATGAAAGGGGAAATGTCACAACAGATACCAAAAAGATCCAGAACATTATAATTGAATACTTTAGAAACCTGTATGCTATTAAATTTGAAAACCTAAAAGAAATGGCTGTGTATCTAAAAGCATGGGAACCACCAAAACTAAACCAAGAAGAGATCAGTGGCTTAAACAGACCCAATAACACATAAGTAAATTGAAACAGTAATACAAAACCTCCCAACTAAAAAAAGCCCAGGACAGGATGGATTTACAGGAGAATTCTACCAGACATTTAAAAAAGATCTACATCCATTTCTGCTTAATTTATTCAAAAGGTAGAAATGGAGGGAGAACTTCCAAATTCCTTCTATGAAGCCAGCATTACTCTAAAGATACAACCAAAAAAAGAAGCCGGGTGTGGTGGCACATGACTTTAATCTGGCACTTGGGAGGCAGAGGCAGGCAGATCCTCTGAATTCGAGGCCAGCCTGGTCTACAGAGCAAATTCCAGGCAGCTGGAGATACAGGGAAACCCTGTCTCAAAAAGACAAAAAAAAAAAAAACAACAAAAATTATAGACCCATATTGTTAATGAACATAGATGCAAACATTCTCAACAAAATACTTGCAAACCGCATACAGACACACATCAAAAAGATCACCATGACCAAGTTGGCTTTATTCCAGAGATGCAGGAATGATTCAGTATATGTAAGTTAATAAATGTCATAAATCACATAAATGGACTCAAAGACAAGAACCACATGGTCATCTCAATGCATGCAGAGAAGGCCAATTCCAGAGGGAATTGGACTGGAAGGAACATACCTTAACATAATTAAAGCTATATCCAATAAACCCACAGCCAACATCATTCAAAATGGAGAAAAACTGGAAGCATTCCCATTAAAATCAGGAATCAGAGAGGGCTGCCCACTATCTCCGCTCCTTTTTAACACAGTGCTTGAAATTCTTGCAAGAGCAGTAGGATGAGATGGAAATTAAAGTAGTAATAATTGAAAAAGAAGAGATCAAATTATCCCTTTTGTGCTGATATGATATCTAAGAGATGCCAAAAATTCCACCAGAAAACTCCTAGAAATTATTAACACGTTCAGTAGAATGGCAAGCTAAAAATTAATCTACAAAATCTGTCGCCTTTCTAAATACTAAAACAATCAGAAAGAGTACATGGAAACACTCCCTTTCACAATAGCTGTAAAAAAAGAAAAAAAAAAATCTCGGAATAGACCTGACCAAACACATTAAAGACCTCTACAATGAAAAATTTAAATCTTTAAAGAAGGAGATTGAGGAAGTCACCAGAAGATGGAAGGACCTCCCATGCTCATGGATTGGAAGAATTAATATTGTGAAAATGACCATCCTACCAAAAGCCATTTATAGATTCAATGCAATGCCAATCAAAATTCCCATGACATTCTTCACAGAGTTGGAAAAAAACCATCCTAAGATTCATATGGAATCACAAAAACTCGGATAGCCAAAGCAACCTTAGTACTAAGAGCAATGCTGGAGGTGGGGGGGGGGTTACTATACCAAAGTTTAAACTGTATTACAGAGCTATAATCATAAAAACAACATGGTACTGGCACTAAAATATGCCCGTAGATCAATGGAACAGAATTGAAGACCCAAATATGACTACATGCCATTTCAGCCACCTGATATTTGACAAAGTGGCCAAGAACATTCACTGGAGCAAAGACGGCATGTTCACCAAATGGTGCTGGCAAAACTGAATCTCCACCTGTAGAAGAATGAACCTAAACCCCTATTTTTCACCTTGCACAAAAGTCAACTCCAAATGGATGAAAGACCTCAATGTGAAGCCTGAAACTCTGAAACTGTTAGAAGAAAACATTGGCAATAACTTCAAGATAAAGGTGTAAGAAATGATTTTTCTAAACTGGACATCAGTTATTTAGGAAACAAGGTCAAGAATCAACAAATGGCACCTCATTAAACTAAAAAGCTTCTGTACATCAAAAGAACCAACCAAGGAAGTGAAGAGAAAATGAACAGAATGGGAGAAAATCTTCACCAGTGACACATCTGATAGAGGTTTAACATCCAGAATATATAATGAACTCACAAAACAAAGAATCAAGAAAGTAAGTAACCCAATTAAAAGATGGGCTAAGGAGCTGAACAGAGTGTTCTCAAAAGAAGAAATAAAGATGGCTAAGAAGCATCTTCAAAGGTGTCCAACATCATTAGTAATCGGGGAAATGCAAATTAAAACCACTTTAAGATTCCACCTTACCCCAGTCAGACTGGCTAAGATCAAGAGAACAAATGATACCAAATGTTGGAGAGGATGTGGGGAAAGGGGAACGAACACTCATCCACTTCTGGTGGGATTGCAAACTTGTTCAACCCCTATGTAAAGCAGTGTGGAGAACTCTTTAAAAACTACAAATGAACCTACCATTTGACACTATTATACTGCTCCTTGACATATACCCAAAGAACTCATCCTATTGCAGAGACCCTTGTACATCCATGTTTGTTGCTGCTCTTTTCACAACAGCTAAGAGATGGAGGCAACCTAAGCGTCCCTCAGGTGATGAGTGGATAATGAAACTGGTTCATTTATATGATGGCATTTTATTCAGCAGTAAAGAAAGATGAAATCATGAAATTTGCAGATAAATGGATGGATCTAGAAACTGTTATACTGAGTGAAGAAACACAGACTCAGAAAAACAAACAATATATGTTCTCCCTCATATGTGGATCCTAGCACCAAATCCTTATAAGTGAGTATGTATCCATACATAACTACAGGAACCAGGATAATGAAAAGGAACCAGGAAGGTAAAGGAAAAGAAAGAATCTGAAAGAGAAGAGCAGTAGGATACAGGCCTTAATAAGGGAGATATGGATAAAAATGGGGTTATTTTAAGGTGGGGGAGGGTTATAAAAGGAACCTTGGGAATAAAGGGAAAGAAGGAGCTCAAGAGTGGTGGGACCATAGGAGAAAAGTATTATTACAGGAGAAATGGGAAAAATGGGGGCATTTTAAATGGGCAATCCATGGTGGAAGGGTTAGACAATGCGAGAGATAAATAATGCCTAGCTAGTTGTAAAAAAACTAGAGGGAACCATATTAATCGACAACCTACTGACAAATTCTACATACATCTAGCTCAAGGAATATATGTCTAGGCAAGGTTTATCTCAGAATGTTTGGTCCTTGCCCAAGCTTTGTCTACATAGCACATGGTAATTAAAAGTACCAGACTGGTGGAATTAACCTTGATGTCTAACAGCCATACTTTGAGGCTTATACTGATTTGGTCAGAGGGACATAAAGGACAGTTTTTCCTCCTTCCCCTCCTAGGTTGACTAAGTTCCAGGGAACTATGAGCATTCTCTCAAAGTGTCCTATATTGATCAAGGAGGCCATGGAGACCCCACCAAATGGACTTGAACCAGTGTCCAGTCTACAAAGAGGAGGGTCAACACAGAGAAAATATTTCCTCCATGCTTCCAAGTGAAGCCAGCCATGGTTGAGTAGGACCTTTGACTTATCTTCCCATAGGTGGAGCTGGTAAAAGAAAGGAGTCAGGGGCTCCTCCCAAACCTGCAAGACCCCTGAGGAACAGATCCTCCAACAACCTTAAGAGTAAAAATAAATTGGCTTATCTGGGCCAACTGTATGTTCTTAAACGCTCAAAAGGAAAGTATAACCAAAGATTAAAAGGATCGATATAATTCTTTAAGAGTCCATGTGTATAGCTAAAAGCTACATAACAAGCAACAATGCCAGACAGGAGATACCTTCCTTTGAGTTGTTTGCCAGTTTCATCCAAGAGACTCCCAGACAGTAACCCAGCATAGAACTGGGCAAAAGAACAGTAGACCCCAATCTTATCTAAAGGAATATTGGCAACTTAGTGCTGCTAGATGTGGAAGAGCTGATCTTCCTAAAACATGGAACTCTAGATAGGCTGACTAGGTTCAGCGGATGGACGAGCACTGGAGAACTGCTGGGGGTATCAACAACACAGTGGACAGTAACAGGGATTACAGAGTATATGGGCTCCAGTGCAGGGTGGAGACTATGGGAGGGTGTGGGTATATAGATGAATAAGGTTGTTTGGGTTGTTCTGTATGAAATACACCACACAAATCAAAAAATTTTAAAAAATGAGTGGTTCTATCTGAGGATGAAGCATAAGAATAAAAAAAAAAAAAAAGGATAATATATATCTTGAATATGATCAGACTTTTATGATATTTTAATGTTGTGACAAGTGTTTTTTATGAAGCATTAGTGCTCATGAATTGCTGTTGTAGTGTCTTTATTTGCTTAATTACAAAAGTACATTGCAGATAGGTATTATATTTCTCAAGATTAGCTCTTGAGTATTAGAGCTTCTGATGAATTGTATGCTGAAATGTTGATTCCAAATCTTCACAGAGCTTTTCCATTTTTCCACAGTTAAACCTTTTGGTCAAGTAATGCCATGAATATTTCTATCTTTTGATTGTGGGGAATAGCTATAATTAGCATGCCAACTGGTCTGTAGAGGTTTGAGTAGATTTCATAAATCTCTATATTTATGAGTGAATTTGTCATCAAGTTGCAAGTATTTGTCCATCAGTTCATGAAGTACATGTGTTGATGGCAAATTTTATGTATTTTTAGTGGATAGTATTTTCTATTTTTCATCTATCAAGCATAAAATTGAACACATGTTCTATAGCAGGCTTTATTACAGAAGTATAAGAAATTTCACTTGAATTTAACATTTATGTCTTGTGTTCCTGTGTGTCAATATTTTCCAGGTATTAAGGATATAATTGTAAATAAAATTGGTTGGTTCTTGACCTTTGTGAAATTGAGTATACTGAGTATATATTAATTTAGGGGGGAAAGTTGACTGTAGGTATAAAAATTATACTTAATTATTCACTAAGGAGTAAAACCCTTGGTGTCTCTTGTGAAGAATTGATAAATTTGCTATAAAGTTTTTGTAGCATGCAAGTGCTCTTGTTAGAAAAATTTGGAATGTAGCCTTTTCATCTAGCAGATTCTTCTCTAGTCATTATAGATCTATTTCAGGCAAGGTGTAGTGGATTGTTTTCATGGCAGCATGTATCCTAGTTGAGGTAAAGCACAGAGAGGTCCTACATACTACTTGAAAATGATTGCCTCAATAATTCATATCTTAGAATCTACCAATTTCTTTACTGTCAAACATACAGTTTTGTTTGTTGCTTTTGGATGTTGCTTTTGGATGTTTTGAGATAGTTTTGCCCTGCAGCCTAGGCTCACATTGAACTTGTGGTCATCTTGCCTCAGCCTCCCAATGTGTTCTGCCGTGACTGGTTAAATGAAGTTTTTTATTGTCATAGTAGTCACTTAGTTCACTTGATGTTTCAGTTTTGGAAAACTTTTTGACACTTTTACTTTTGATTCATCTAGTTAGCTCACCTCAGGAAACCCCTATTAGAGATGATGGATTTCGTCTTCATGACTCTGAAGATGTTGTGGTGGTTGGACTGGCAGTGTGCTGGGGTAGAAAGGATGCCTATTATGTTTCATTGCAGAAGGAACAAAAGCATTCTGGTAAGTAATTGGTATTTGGCTGAGTCACTGTGTGATCTGACATATCTATTAAGGGACTAATCTTGTTTTTTGGATAATAATTTCCTGCTATTACCTAGGCTTTATTTTTAAGATTAAAAATTGTTATTTGGATAGTAGCCAATATGTATGTAATTAAGAATATTAACTAGAATGAATTTCACGCTTCCTTCTTCCCTCCATCCACACCTTCCTCCCAGTAGTGTTAGGGACTGAATTCAGGGCCTCACTATTGAAGGCAGGTGTTCTGTCACAGAGCTTTAACCCAGATCAGAATGAATGTTTTGAAAAAGCACCTCCCTTTCTCCCCACTGCCTGTTACATGAGGCTATTAACAATGGGCCATGACAATTTTTTTTTCAGTCTTTCTCTTCTTGTTGCTTGGGTCTGGAGTTCATCCAGAGGCAGTACTGAGCTAGAAAACTATAGATGCTGAATCAACTGTTGGAGGAGACTTTGGAACAAAGGGCTGTGATCTAGAACTACCTTGTGATCTGGTTTTGGTTGTTGGATACTGAACTGTTTGGACAGCAGCATATTAATAAAGATGCCATATACTTTGTGTTTGTAGAACAATATGTTGGACTGAGTAGCTACTTGAACTTTTATTTGTGATACAGTATTAATTAAAATTTTTTCTAGAACTCTTAGCCGTCTTTAACTCCTTGTTCTGAAAATGTAATTTTACTTTTAGAAGTTGTGGTATTTAAAATTTTCGATCATTTGATGACATAGACTATTATAAGTCTAGTCTAAACCCTTATCTTTAGGTTGTGAGGAGCTTCATCTGCATAATTGCTCTGACCTGGATCAATCACTGGGAACTAGATCCTTAGGCTTCTGAATCTTTTTCAGTCTTTTCACTAAAGATTGATGTTTCAAATGACTGAATCTAAGTTTTGCATTAAGACTTTTTTTCTCCTCCAAGAAATGAGTGCCAGTTTGGCACCACCCCCTCTGGATCCAACATTGACTGTGAAAAATAGGATGCGACACCTTCAGTCCTGCTTGCAAAAGAAATCTGACAAAGAGCAATCTGCTGTCATCTATGACTTCATTCAGAGCTATAAAATCCTTCTTCTGTCTTGTGGTGTCTCCCTGGAACAAAGTTATGAAGATCCTAAGGTTTTATGTTATATTTAATTTTTGTATACATCAACATTGTTAATGCTTAGGGTCAACTCTGTGTATTTATTAACTTAAGACTTTCTGAGAAGTCACTTCTCTGTCTAGTAATCTCATTATCCAGAATATAATATCACATACCAGGTGCCTCTCTGTAGATGGAAAGAAATATATACTAACATTCATGGGTTTTTGTTTTGTTTTGAGGAAGACTTTAAAGATTAAAAACAAAACAAACTTTAATTTCAGTTATAAGTCACAATTTTTTTTATCCCATAGTAAATTAGAAGTGAACTGAGATCTATCATGTTTAAGATTATGGTAGCAAAAATCTTAAAGTATTTGTGAAAGTGGAGGCAAAGTGTATGAATATGAGGTGTAAAAAGGGAGTGTTCTTAGGGGCATGGAGACAAATCATATCACTAGTCCCTGAAAACATTGCTTACAGTAGCAAGTGTTCTCTTTCTGATGATGGCTCTGAGGTATTAAGAAGGGGTAGCAGGTTACTGTAGTTAATGTCTAATAGTTTAAGGCCTTAACAGATGCTTATTTATAATATCCTATCTTTAAAGATACACCATTTTCTCCCATGTGTTGATAATAAATACTTGAAATATGCAAAGTTGAAGATTACACTATTTGACAATTATCACCAACATAATAATAGGGTACCTTTTATTTTTCTTTTAGAATTTTAGTTTGTTAGGTTTTTTTGGTTGCTGTGGTTGTTGTTAGTTTATTTTTAAAAAAATGATGGTACAACTCCAGCTTCAAGGCCTAAAAACCACATCAATGACCAGCACAGCAAACAACATTGATGTAGTAGTGGCACTTTTATCTTGGGGGTAATTAGCAGCTATCTAATTGGACTTAAAGCCCACTCAGTGGGAGGAAACTCATGT